TTTTTTAATTACCTTGGGGCAACAAAAACATTTTGCCGTGTGAAAGACCAAATTATGTTCTAGTGGGCACGACATACGATCTCGTGGTTCTTGTGGTAACGGAATATCTCGTGTTCTCTTGGGATCACATTATATCTCACTTAGGAACAATAGCTCGTGGTTCTCGCGTGAATGACATAATAATATAATAACTAGTGGCTCTCTTGAGAACGACATAATCTCGTGGTTCTGGTGGAAACAACATATGAAGCTATCATCCATGAACTGTTAAGCTCAATCAAACCGATCCTCTGGCTATTTTTTTCCGTGTTCCATTTTTATATGCCCGAAAGAATTTCGGGCATATTATGTTATACCCCCGGGCGTCCGTCCGTCCGTCCGTCCGTCTGTCTATCCGTCCGTCCGTCTGTCCGTCCGTCCGTTAGCAATTTGGTTTCCGGAGCATAACTTAAGTTCCATTTGGCCCACAACATTCAAACTTCATAGGATGATTGTCCATATTGAGTAGAAGACCCCTATTGATTTTGGGGTCACAAGGTCAAAGGTCAAGGTCACTATGACCTTAAAACTGAAAACAGTTTCCGGAGCATAACTTAAGTTCCATTTGGCCCACAGTGTTCAAACTTCATAGGATGATTGTCCATATTGGGTAGAAGACCCCTATTGATTTTGGGGTCACAAGGTCAAAGGTCAAGGTCACTATTACCTTAAAACTGAAAACAGTTTCCGGAACATAACTTAAGTTCCATTTGGCCCACAGTGTTCAAACTTCATAGGATGATTGTCCATATTGGGTAGAAGACCCCTATTGATTTTGGGGTCACAAGGTCAAAGGTCAAGGTCACTATTACCTTAAAACTGAAAACAGTTTCCGGAACATAACTTAAGTTCCATTTGGCCCACAGTGTTCAAACTTCATAGGATGATTGTCCATATTGGGTAGAAGACCCCTATTGATTTTGGGGTCACAAGGTCAAAGGTCAAGGTCACTATTACCTTAAAACTGAAAACAGGTTCTAGAGCATAACTTAAGGTCTATTTGTCCCACAATATTCAAACTTCAGAGGATGATTGTCCATATTGGGTAAAGACCCCTATTGATTTTGGGGTCACAATGTCAAAGGTCAAGGTCACTATTACTTTAAAACTGAAAACAGTTTCCAGAGCATAACTAAAGGTCTATTTGTCCCACAATATTCAAACTTCAGAGGATGATTGTCCATATTGGGTAAAGACCCCTATTGATTTTGGGGTCACAATGTCAAAGGCCAAGGTCACTATTACTTTAAAACTGAAAAAAGTTTCCAGAACATAACTTACTTTCTTTTTGGCCCATAGTGTTGAAACTTCATAGGATGATTGTCCATATTGGGTAGAAGACCCCTATTGATTTTGGGGTCACACGGACAAAGTTCAAGGTAGCTATTACCTCAAAACTAAAAACAGTTTCCAGAGCATAACTGAAGTTCCATTTGGCCCACAATATTCAAACTTTATAGGAGGATTGCTATTTGAAGGAGGTAATACTTTATTTAATTTATGTAATGTCTTACAAATGCTTCATCCTTAGAAAAGAAAAAAAACACTTTCGGGCATATAATGCTCCGCCTAGCGGTGCTCTTGTTTCTATTTGTGTTTGTTTCAGTATCTTAGGCAAAATGGCAACTTTTTAAATTTGTTAATGTGATCTGTTTTAGTATCAGGGATCTAAATTAAATGTATCTCACTTTATAGTCAATTTTAGGACATCATGGCCAAATTACTGTCATATTATTTACACACAAATAGGAGAACATGGGAGTCATGAAACTGAAAAGGGAGATAATCAGAATGTTTTCAATATATAATTCAATTTTTCTATTCAACAGAAAAAGGGTCTTAAAATTCTGTTTGAAAGACACTGATTAACTAAATGCTTAATGTCGAAGAATTTTACTTCTGATCTGCTTGTTTGCAGCAGTTCCACCCTTGGCTCAATAGTTAGAATTTACTACGTCTTTTTATAGCACGACATTTTCTGGTTCATACTATTTCTAGTTAGAGTAGAAAGTACTGCACATGTGAATTCCATGACAATAAGATTTTCAATGCTCGATTGGGAATTTGACAGTTATTTAATGACAAACAGGCTGCTATAAAGGTATAGGAGTCAGAAACACGTCTGATCGTGTTATGTATAATCTAGAAATTGTTACCAACGTCCCCCGCCTAAGGGAAGTTTTACATGAAGCACAAAACTGCTTTTTCAAAAGATCTAGACTTTAAGTGCAAAATTTGAGCAATTTTAGATCTGCACATCCCAGTAACAAAACATTCATTAAAGAAATATAATGAACAACTCCTGTGTATGTGTCAACAGAAATACATTTGTATACTTGTTATCACTATTTCAAAGCCAAAAATATGTGACAAATACAAAATCAATACAGGATATGGTCTGTTACAAGGTATAGTTCGTTTCTGGTCATCAATCAACGTATGTGGGCTATTCAGCAATGATATTTTATTTGCATCGGCGTTTTGAGGTCTGGGTCTGTGTTTATTACTATTTTAAAGCCACAAATATGTGACAAATACAGATTCAATACAGGATATGGTGTGTTACATGGTATATTTCTTGTCTAGTCATCAATCAAGGTATGTTACAGGGTATATTTCGTGTTCAGTCATCAATCAAGGTATGTTACAGGGTATATTCCGTGTCTAGTCATCAATCAAGGTATGTTACAGGGTATATTTCGTGTTCAGTCATCAATCAAGGTATGTTACAGGGTATATTTCGTGTCCAGTCATCAATCAAGGTATGTTACAGGGTATATTTCGTGTCTAGTCATCAATCAAGGTATGTTACAGGGTATATTTCGTGTCTAGTCATCAATCAAGGTATGTTACAGGGTATATTTCGTGTCTAGTCATCAATCAAGGTATGTTACAGGGTATATTTCGTGTCTAGTCATCAATCAAGGTATGTTACAGGGTATATTTCGTGTCTAGTCATCAATCAAGGTATGTTACATGGTATATTTCGTGTCTAGTCATCAATCAAGGTATGTTACAGGGTATATTTCGTGTCTAGTCATCAATCAAGGTATGATACAGGCTATATTTTGTGTCTAGTCATCAATCAAGGTAAGTTACAGGGTATATTTCGTGTCTAGTAATCAATCAAGGTATGTTACAGGGTATATTTCGTGTCTAGTCATCAATCAAGGTATGTTACAGGGTATATTTCGTGTCTAGTCATCAATCAAGGTGTGTTACAGGGTATATTTTGTGTCTAGTCATCAATCAAGGTATGTGTCACCAAAGATATTTATTTGCATGGGCCTTTTGAGGTTTTGATCTAGGTGTTGCACATGGGATGTTGTAGGAAAGTAGGAAGTAAGAACTGTGTTGAGGACAAAAATATCGCCATGTTCTTCTCAATGACGCTCACTTCTTTTTTCATTTGTTTAATGCCATTGATTCCATGGTCTATATTACTTTAATTTTGATTGATTACCCCTAAACCGGTACTAGGGAGCGTTGATCATCATTTTCTTATAAAGCTTGCTCACAGACTTATAATTTATTGTTCACTTGTCGTTTCTCTTGATATATGTAGATACCTGTATCTTTAACATATTCTTCTCTGTGTCACATACATGCTTTTATTCATTTCACAGTCATTTTAAAGTAATAACTTCTTTTCATTTTATCATAGGGCCTTTCATTTATAAGATGATGTTCAGAGCCTTTAGCCGCATGTATATACAAACTGTTTAAAATTGCGCTGAATGATTTTATAAATCTAATCTAATTTTATTATATGTGTTAGTCGTATAATCGTAATTTTGTATTGTCACTCGTGAAGCGAAAATACGACAAAACCATCATCAATTTGAAAATAAGAAATAACACAAATTAGCCACCACAGTCTTCTCGTCCGCCCACATGAAAGTTTCGGAACCGTATCAATGAAATCTATTTAAAACTATATAAGAAAAGTCTCCAACGTCGCAGCAGTGCTGACATAATTAGAAATCTAGACGTTACCCAGATCATACTGCGTATAGAAATAACGCCATCTTCATTTACAGTTTAGTAACATAAATACTGCGCAGCGAAAACGGTTAAAGCCAAACATGAGATACCGAGAATGGTCCATTTATCGAAGATTTTAAGTTCTTAAATGAAGGCAACAATATTATTTTTTTTCAAAAGGGGAGAAACATGTATTTATAAATCTTAAGTAATTAAATTATTTACTTCCCGTTGATAGTGTACTGTAAAGGCTGTACATAGCTTTATTGGGATTCATTGGGATTCATTCCGCAAGGATATTAAAAGAATAAGAAGTAATACAGCATTGGAAACAAACTTTTAATAATCAACTCAGTGAAAGCACATTTAACTGTAACAACGATTTAGGGTATATCTATATTTAAGACTTAGAACAAAATCGATGTAAAAATCGTTTCATTTCAACCGTAGCAAGGAAGACATATATTTCTTGTATCAATTATTTATATTATAATGTTATTTATCTGTGTACTATGGTTTTAATTCCAAATTAAAATTTCCTATATAGACAGAATAATGACATTTTTCGTTTCACATTTAGTTCATTTAAATAATTATTAGAACAAAACAATATTGGGTGGTAGTTAGTGACACTTGTATGCAAAATATCTATCAAACGATTTCTTTTGAAACTTTACGAACTGGGTTGATTAATCTTATAAGCACCAGCATATTTGTCTGTGCTTATTGCCATATTCATTAACACATTTATCTATTTAAAAGTACTCCAAGAAAAGAATCCCATCTATAGTTAGTATCAGTGTATATGTGTGAAGCAGAAGTTGTTTGTACCCACACTCTTTCCCCTGTCTTCAACATCGCAATAGCGCTCACAGAATTACATGTGTATACGTTGTCAAGATCATGCTGCGTACTAATAGCAATCGCCTCATCGTCCTTAACTATCTTGTAATATACAGCTTTGTTACCATAGTTACATAAATGTGCAGAGAAGAAATACAGTCCATCTTGTGATACTGAGAAAATTCCAGACGTTTTGTCGTAACCTTCACCTGCGTTCATTAATACGGTATCAAACACGATCTTCACGTTTGCGCCTAAATTGACTGTTGACGACAGACGAGCATTGAATGCAATCTTTGGAATGAAAACCTTCTCTGAAAAGTATATAATAAGAAAATGTTGCAAATCCTGGGATACCCTTATCTCTTAGTTTAACAAAAGTTACCTCAAAAATGGAATATTGTAACAAACTTTATACAAAGAATGCTTGATATAATGTCATGATATAAAAAAAAACACATTTCATTTTAGTTTACTACTCGGGCGATATTCTTGATAATTTCTATGATGAAATAATTAAATAATTAATTACCTGACAACGCAGCTATCTTCGCCTTTTCTTGTTCAAATTTTTCAGCAAAGTTGTTAATTGTTTCGTTGATGTTACGATGAAACTCGTGAATGTTATTTTCAGCAGTTTTGACCGTCTGTGTAACCTCGTTCGTTAATGCCAAAACATCATCCTTTGTAATTTTAATTTCATTAACCATTTGTTCCATTTTAACTTCCATTCGTATCATTTTCTCCAGAAGCTTTTCCTCGTAGTCAAACTTTGAACATGCTGGTTCATTCCTAGCCGCAGCCACATGCTGGTGGCAAAAAAGACCAACATTTACAAACAGATATAAGAGAAAATGCATCTTTTCACTTTGACGACTATACGAAAAGTACGACAATTCATATAGGCATCTCAACATCATGACTTTAATATACTGAGAATATTTAAGAACGTGCAAGTCTGTTTTTCAAAAATTAAAACTTTCACTGTTGTCTTGGGGTCTCCGTGGCTGGATGATTAACATCACCGACTTCAAATCACTTGCCTACCATCGGTGTGGATTCGAATCTAGTCAGATTCTTTCAGGTTCAGGTTGCATATAATCTAGCTAGATTATAATTGCACTTGAGGTCTTCAAGTGCAGCTGGAAAGTCGCAGTATGACCACTACAGTGTCGGTGTAAATAAGAATCAAGAAGCACTGTTTCCTTGCCTAGTTTTTGTCTCTATATGTTTAGACAATCTATTGCATCAATGAGTATTAAATACCTCCTAGAGCATAAACAAAAGTAAATATGTTAGATTGTAGACTAGGTTTAATGAGTCTGTCTACAAACAGAAATCTCTCACAACCCTTGCAACAACTTTGCCAGTGTAACAATAAATATTTTTCAGTCATTATTCACCAATTTTCAACATTAAAAAATTGATCCCTACTTATAATTTTAAAATTCACCAAGACGTGAAAAACTGACACCCGTTTAAAACTGATCAACTTAAGACAAGCAATATTTCGACTTGACAACTGATCGCTATAATTTTGCGCAATAAGGCTGTGGCCATACCGATGAAGTATAAATATTTCTGGTTTTATATAGATTTGAACATCCAGACGCGTCATGTCCTAATCACATTTCTAATTATTTGTCTTCAGTATAGTTGTGAATTATCATAGTAAATACACAGAGGCTGGTAAACTGAAAAGTTTCAAAAAAGTGAAATTTTAAAATTAAGAATTTTTGCGGTGATCGATCAACAGTTGCGAAACTGATGATTCTAAAGGTATGATTGGGATGTTACCTATTGTGTATATGTACATACCTATTTTGATAACGTGTATCTTTATTTTTATGTATTGTTGTTGTTGTTGTTGTGAAAATGCTACATTATCTCATCACTCCAGTGCCCCATACAGGCTTCGTACAATTATTTTATTTTCACCGATTGGCGAGTTTTTTTTATATAGCAACATGTTTTTATGCAAGTAAGGCATGTAACTATATTAACTATGTTAATATCTAGATGAATATTGAAAGAGTAAAGTTTATTTTTTCTTTTCAATTTTAAAAACAATTATTCTCTAACATTGATGTAATGCGCACTTCTAAAAATATTGTTTTTAAGGAAACTAAATGATCGCGTGATACTAAAATTTAGGTGTGCTTACTATACCTTATGGTTACATTGAAAAAATAAGGAAAAATAATAAGCTATTGTTTATTTTATCGACATATAAATTATTTCTAAAGCGATATTTTCCTTGATTATATCTTATGTTTAGTTATAGTGAAACAAAAAATAAGAGCAACAAAAGAAACGAAACCACCTTATTTAAACAGGGACATGAAACCCGTCTTTGATTACAAAATAGACATCTGGCTTCGTTTATTTTTCTAGTAATAAATTTTAAGCAGTGGTAAAAGTTACACTACATGCAGAAAGAAATGAACCACTAAGGATTACGGCCTTCGTGGTCAATTGGTCAATTCATTCCTACACATCAAAAATGCTAACCGGTGTTAAATAGCCAATAAACACCGCAGTTCAGTTACAGTTATTCGATTCATTCCATTAATTCCTGGTTATAGTGACCCTTTGGCCCAATATACATTGTATACTCAAAATATGCCAAGGTACTCAACTGACTGTAATGTTTAGACTTACTGATTGCTTCACCAAAAAAGGTATTATTACTATCATTTTTTACCACCTAAACCTAGACTTTCTTTACGGCATCTCTGAAAGGATATATTAGCGTTCCACTCTAAATTTGTTTTAGTTCCGGCTGACAAGGCGGCCAATAACATAATCATTGTATGACGTATTCATTATATAAATGTTTTACAAAATGAACTTAACAGCACCAATACTTATTCTAAAACCGTTCTTTCTGAAAGAGATATTGTCTCAGTCATATTTCTAGTATTTCTAACTTTAAAGTACGTGTTGATGAGAAAGAGCTTAACTTTCTATCATGTACTGGATTTCAAAATTACATAAACATCTATATAAAGCTCGCTTTATTGCTAATTCTTTATCTTGTACTACCAGTTATCTTTCTATTTTATTGACTTCTTGTCTTACTGCCATCAAGACACATGTACCGGTAATTAGATACTGTGAAACTGTTTATGAAAATACGGGCAAAAATCTTTTTTGGTCTATTAAAAATCAACTGAAATTTTAGATAAGTTTAAAGTTAAGAATTATCAAGCTTCATCTGTAAGTACTTACGATTTCTCTACCTTATATACAACATTGCCGCATAATATTTTAAATGATAAATAAGTATCTTTAATTCAAAAAACATTTGAAAGAGAACAGGTCACGTTTCTTGCTTGCAATTCAAAGAAGGCTTTCTTTACCAATGTTATCATTAAACAATAACAATGTGGACCTTTGAAGAAGTTTGTAAAGCACTTTCATTTTTATTAGATAACAGTTTTGTCAGGTTTGGTAATACAGTTTTCAAACAGGTAATAGGCATTCCAATGGGAACTAATTGTGCCCCCCCCCCCCCCTGATAGCTGATTTGTTATTTCATCTTTTTTAGATTTAAACATTTCTATCATTAACAATACTATAGTAACTAAAATCTACGATAAAAGAGATGATTTTGATTTTTATATTGTTAACTACCCACATTTAGATGGAGATGTACCTCATGCTACATCATATGGGGTGTATATTTCTCAATTAATTAGATTTGCTAGGGCGTGCAGTCTTGTTGATGATTTTAATGAACGCAATTTATTTATTACTAACAAACTTCTTAAACAAGGTTATCGCTATCATAAATTGCGTAAATATTTTACTAAGTTTTACCATCGTAATTCAGACTTAGTTTTAAAATTTAATTGTAATTTAAAAACTCTTTTACGATAAGGTATTTCCTCTTTTGATTACGTCTGACGGACCAAGTGGGAGACTCTATGATGGACAGTTCTTAAAGCCCTTTGGGGATTGAATTGTCTTAATGTTCGTCTTCTGCCTTGCTTCGTCGGGCCCTTGTAGGTGATTTTCTTGTTGCTCTGCCTTCCTTTAAGGCACCGAGTACTTTGGTAATGGTCATTAGGCAGTAACTTTTTCTACATATTTACATAATTTTGTATGTGTTTTATTTATTTCGTCTAATATAACCATGACCATTGTTAGAATTTCACTTGGCGGGGATTAATTTTATATACATTTTCGTGTCATTCAGGAACATTTTGGGGCTAAGAGTGAGGTTTGGCGCGCCTTAAACTGGTTTAAACTCCCCAGTGGTATAACTACCACTGACAGTTCCAAGGCGGTACCCCTTTGTGTTCCTTCACGTGTTTTTCTTGTCTGTATTGTTACTTGTTTTTGGATGTTTACATGTTTTGTGATGTCTGTCTTGTTGGATTATCGTTGACGGTAGGTATTTTCTCTCTCTTCCCCCCCCCCTCTTCCATTTTTGCTTATGATCTCTTTTACAGATATTTTCTGTAAATTAATGTTATGCTTTTTATATGAATTTTCATGCCTTTTGGGTGGATGTTTTCCCTTAAATGTGTCTCAATATCCAATAGAATGTAAGATTTTTGATTTTATTTTTATTTTCTCCTGTCAAGTAGATAGTCCAATATATTCGATGTACATAAATATATTTGTTTTCGTATATAGTGTGTGAGTTGCTTTGACAAGAAGGAAAAATATCACAACGCAACGTCATATTATTTATAGAACTAGTTAAGTAGCTATGAAATAAAATGAAGGAAGTTTACCATTCAACAATGATCTTGTTCTATTACAAAGCAATCTTACTGTCAAATAGGTAGAATCCCCGTTAAATCCTCCCAATTAAGAAATGTTGAAACATTTGTTAACATTTTGAAACATCTTGTTTATTGTTAAATACTTGTCGATATGACTAGGAGGGTTATTTTGTGACAAATTTTAAGTCACATCTATACGGCTTCTTAAATCACGCCGGCATCGCAATGGCTACTGTAGTTAACCCCTTCACCAATATTCTATTTGGGCGCATAACTTACAGCTACTCGCAGACATCTTGATTAAAACAATAACCATCTCAAAGAGTACTTCACACGTAAGATTGATATAAGGTTTGGGGTATTCTAACACGGTGCAATAAATAATAAGTCCATGTTGTAACCAACCAATGAGCGACGGAACATAGATGGCAAAAGAGATTCTATCTTTATACACGCAAAACAATCACAATTTCTAATTGCCATCAAATTTCGGTTAAGGACAATCGGCTTTGTGTTCTGAAGACACAAGTACCGAGCAACACATAAAAACGTTTAATCACATAGAACAACAGAAACTAAATATAATTCGTAACTATACCAGAATCATTTTGCTTGTTAATTAAATGACCAAAAGAAACGTCCTGACTTATGTGAAGACGAGAGCCTTTCAGTATTTGTTAACGTGATATACATAAAATGTTCCCAACCGACATAATAAAAGATCTATGAATAAAACAAAACATTCTCCTTTTTTTCAAAAGTATCCCGAGATGTAACATAAAAGCTTTAAAAAACCAGAACATTTAAAAAAATGTACAAACAATCAATTAAAACAAAAATATGATTTTCTAGGAAATGCTCATTTATTCATAGTTTACTTTGCAGGACGTTACGACATATCGACACTGTCTGCTGGTGTCTTCCCAGCTTTAAGAGTATCACGATGATCTGGCATGTGCTTGTACAAATCATAACAAGGGTGCCATAATCACAAAATACGCCCGTTTACGAAAGCTTTAGATGGAGATGGGGGCATTATGGATAAGTGTTATCTAGCTAGCAAGTTTTTATTCTTGGCACTGTGTTGTTAAATGAACCTTAAAACAAATCAGTAGGGAAGATATGCACAGGATGTGTGACCTTGACCTTGGTCGCAGGGACCTGAATTTTATACACGACACTCAGCCTCACAATGATGAACATTTGTGCCAAATTATATTGAAATCCCTCTATGCATGTAGAAGTTTTGCTCCAGACAAACGTTTTTCTATGAGCTCTAACTGTGACCTTCACCTTTGACCTAGAGACTTGGTTCATGTGCAGGGCACTACGTCTCATGGTGGTGAACAATTCTATAAAGTAACATTAAAATTCCTCCATGCATGTAGAAAATATGCTCCGGACAACATCTGGATATTTAATCATCTCCAGTGACCTTGACCTTGCAAATATTAACCTAAATTAAATGTGTCACACCTGTAGTCATGATAGTTACCATTTGTGCTACAATCCATCAATAAATGATGACTAAATGGTCCCTATACACATCTTCAAATTTTTATCTGAACTTTGACCTCTATGTGTAACCTTGACTTTGGTCGCAGGGATCTAAATTTTGCGTGCGACACTCAGCCTCACAATGGTGAACATTTGTACCAAGTTATATTGAAATCCCCCTATGAATGTAGAAGTTTTGCTCCGGACAAGCGTTTTTCAATGAGCTCTAAGTGTGACCTTGACCTTTGACCTGGAGACCTGGATCATGCATGGAGCAATACATATCATGGTGGTGAACATTTCCATAAAGTATTATAAAAATTCTTACATACATGTAGGAGATATGCTCTAGACAAAATCTGGATATTTCACCATCTTTAGTGACCTTGACCTTGCATATATTGACCTAAAGTACATGTTTCACAGCCGTAGTCATGATAATGACCATTTGTGTTACAATCCCTCAATAAATGATGATTAAATCGTCCCTATACACATCTTCATATTTTTATCTAAACTTTGACCTCTATGTGTGACCTTGACCTTGGCTGCAGGGACCTGAATTTTGTGCGCGACACTCCGCCTCACAATGGTGAACATTTGTGCCAAGTTATATTGAAATCCCTCTATGCATGTGGAAGTTTTGCTCCGGACAAGCGTTTTTCAATGAGCTCTAAGTGTGACCTTGACCTTTGACCTAGAGACCTAGTTCATGTGCGTGACATGGCTTCTCATAATGGTGAACATTTCTATGAAATTTCATTAAAATCCCTCCATGCGTGTAGGAGATATTGTGGAATTTGGAATTTAGAAACATCCGCAGATGTGTTCATACGGCGGTTATCATGGAACCGTCAATGTGACACAGTAGTGTCATTCCATGAAAAGCAGCGCATGGTCCCCAAGTAAAAGAATGCGTGTACCCTAAACGAGAAAACAATGGGCGGAACTAAATAAAATGAAATTTAGAAAGGGGATCTGACGTTATGAAGCCTGCATATCACAGACAAGACGTCAAAAGACAAATTTAAAAAGCAGGCAACATATCCTAAGGGTGATTATACAGTATTCAAGTGGGAATACTGGAACCACCCAAATTGAAAAGGGCCAATTAAAGAAACTAAAAATACCATGTAAAATGTATACACAACAATAATGTCGTGCTGAACGATCTTTAAGGATCGGAAATATAACATCTCTGAATGTACGGAGCGACTTTTCACAGCCTCCACACGGCACAAACAACGCTAATGTGGCGATAAAATAGAGAAAATAAGAATCCCTAAAGAAAGCCCAACACGTCAAAATTCTTAAGCAGAAATCAGCATTTAAACATAAAAATGGTGAAATTTTGAATTAAGAAACCTCCGGATATGTTTTCATACATATTAAGCTGCTTTTCATAGAATGGCACAACTTCTAATGGAAAACAAGGTTTTCTTACCTCCGTATACAAATAATTGACTGTGCAACTGTCTGTCGTTTACCGAGATTTTATATCTTAAATATATCCTTTTGTTGACTTTTAGAAACCAGGACACAATCTCGTTTTCAAGAAATTTATCTTTTTAAACATTTTTATTTTTCTTTTGAGATGATTAAGATAGTGTCGTGCGGACATAGTTCTGGTTTCAAATACTTAAATAGCAGACTTTAATACATTTTCTGTTGTATTTTGATTAGATTTGGTAACGGGTCTGATGCCTTAAATATCTTTTATACTACGTTTATGCTCAAATTTGATGTTTTATCGTTGGTCATTTGCTTATATATCTGGCACTATTATAATCCATTACGGGCAACATATGTAAGTAAGACATATAATTAAGACACATGGTACCGGATTCCTTGCACATAAGGAAATTGATAGAAGCGTATCCGACCAGCCACAGTAAACAACGTGTACTACTAGTACGAATGTAATAGAATTTTCGTGTCGAAACGCTTCCCCTTTAATTTCAACAACTGCGCAGATCTAAACAGACATCTAGGTAACATTTTATTCTGCTCTTCTAAGCACAGTTGACAATTTCTTCTCAGTTATTTAACGCGTGCAAAACACCTCGCTTGTTTTATAGATATATAATTTGCATTTTAAAGTAATTGCTTGCTTCCGTCTTGTAGAAACTTACCAATAATTTTATGATAGGGCCTTTCATTTTTAAGTTGTTGTCCTGATCAACTAGTAAGACATGTATATCATACTGTTTGCAATTGTGTGAAATGATTTTAATTTGTCTTTTCAATCTGACTAATGTAAAGTTCGGATTTACTTATTTCTTGCATGTAGCGTTATTTAGAGCTGAATTTAATCAGCCAGTTAATCTATTGTAAATTAAACATATTTCTTAACTAAACATGATCTTCTCTACAACCAGTTTAACTAATCTTTATATCCACATACACTACATTACCAAGATTAATCATCTATTTAAAAGTTCATATAATCGCAAAAAAAAGACGTTGACCAGATCATACTGAAAGCAGCAATAGCGCCTTAGTCCCTGACAGTCTTGTATTGTAAATAATAGCATGCATGCTGCACATCCAAAACAATTCAAGTCAATCATGAGCCACCAATAATGGTCCATTTATCGAAGATATTTTTAAAAGGGGAGTAACCACAGTAATACTTTTTATAAAACCTGTATTACTTACTTCCTGTTGATAGTGAATAAGAAGTCATACAGCAATGGAAACAAACCTTTAATAATCAAACCAGTTTAAGTACTAAACTGTACTAAATATGTGTATATCTATTCGTAAGACTTCGATCAAAAACGATATAAAAATAATGATAAAATTCGTAGCAGGGTAGACATATTTCTTGTATCAATTATTTATATTAAAGTGTTATTAAACTGTGTATAATGGTTTTAATTCCAAATTAAAATTACCTACATAGGCAGAATATGATGTTTTCTGTTTCACATTTAGTTCATTTAAATAATAAATAGAACATTACAATATTGAGAGGTCGTTTATGACCATTGTAGGCAAAATATACATGTATATCAATCTATCAAACGGTTTATTTTAAAATTTTACGAACTGGGCTGATAAATTTTAAAAGAACAGGCACATATGTCTGTGTAACCATAAACACATTATCTATTTAAAAGTATCCCCAAAAAAGTATCCCATCTGTAGCTACTAGCGAATATGTATGAAACATCAGTTGTTTGTACCCATACTTGTTCACCTGTCTTCAACATAGCAACAGTGCTCACAGAATTACATGTGTATACATTGTCCAGGTCGTGCAGCGTACTAACAGCTATCGCCTCATCGTCCTTAACTATCTTGTAATGTACAACTTTGTCACCTTGGTTACATAAATGTGCAGAGAAGAAATACACTCCATCTTGTGATACTGAGAATATTCCAGAAGTTTTGTCGTAACCTTCACCTTCATTCATTAATACGGTATCAAACACGACCTTCACGTTTGCGCCTAAATTGACTTCTGACGACAGGCGAGCATTGAAAGCAATCTTTGGAATGAAGGACTTGTCTGCAATATATAATAAGAAAAAGGTACAAGTCTTCGGATAACAAAAGTTAGCTCAGAGTTTGATTATAATAACAAAATTTATACAAAATAGATAAATGCAGAATCCCTAAAGAAAGCCCAACACGACAAAATTGAAAATGTTGCAGGCTCGGTTTGATTGAGCCTGTTCATGGACGGAACTGGAATGTGCAAGTTACCGTCCACGCTGTTGGACTGTTTTATAAAAAGTCATAATGTAAAAAGGCTTTTCATTCGGATGGTATTCCTGATAATCTTTTATGATGAAATATTTAATTACCTGATAATGCAGTAATCTTCGCCTTTTCTTGTTCAAATTTTTCAGCAAACTTATTTATTGTTTCGTTGATGTTACGATGAAACTCATGAATGTTATGTTCAGCATTTTGTACCGTCTGTGTAACGTCGTTCGTTATTGCCAAAACATCATCCTTTGTTTTCTTAATTTCATTAACCATTTGTTCCATTTTAACTTCCATTCGTATCATTTTCCCCAAAAGCTTTTCCTCGTAGTCAAACTTTGAACATGCTGGTTCATTCCCTGCCGCAGTCACATGCTGGTGGCAAAATAGAACAACATATGCAGACAGATATTTGAGAAAATGCATCTTGTCACTTTGACGATTATACGAAAAGTACGACAATTCATATAGGCATCTCCACATCACGAAGTTAATATACTGAGAATATTTAAGAACGGGCCGGTCTGTTTTTCAAAAATTCAAACTTTCACTGTTGTCTTTGTGCCTCCGTGGTCGAATGATTAACATCACCTTCTTCAATTCACTTGCCCCTGACCGGTGTGGGTTCGAATCTAGTCAGATTCTTTCAGGTTATGATCTAATCAAGCTAGATAATAAGGTACTTGAGGACTTCCAGTACAGCTGGAAAGTCGCCGTATGACCATTACAGTATCGGTGTAACTTAGAATCAACAAGCACTGTTTCCTTGCCTTGTTTTTTTCTCTTTGTTTTCAGAAAATTCATTGCTTCGGTGGGTATTCAATATCTCATAGAGCATAAACAAAAGTAAATATGTTACATTAAATTGAAGACTAGGTTTGAATGAATCTGTCCACAAAACAACATCTCTCACAACTCTTGTAACATCTTTGACGGTGTAACAATAAACATTATTCTGTTATCTTTCAATAGATTATTCACCAATTGTCAACGTTAAAAATTGATTCCTATTTGTAATTACATAATTCACCCTGATGTGAAAAAATGACCCCCTTTTACAATTGATCAACTTGAAAACTATAATTTTGCGCGATAAACCAGATGTAATGTAAATATTTCTGTTTTATAACCATTCAGACGCGCCATATTCTAATCAAATGTCTTATTGTTTGTCTTCAGTATCATATCACATAGTGTGATTTTCAGTACATGTCAATACACAGAGGCTAAAAACTGAACAGAGTTTCAAAAAAGTGAAATTTGAAAATTAAGAATTTTGCGGTTATCGATCAACAGCTGCGAAGCTACTGATTCCATAGGTATGGTTGGGATGTTACCTATTTCGTATGTGTGCATACCTAGTTTGATAAAGTGCATCTTTATTTTATTTGTTGTTGTTGCTGTTGCTGTTGTTGTGAAAATGCTACATTATCTCTTCATTCCAGTGCCCACTACAGGTTTCCGTACAATTCTTTTATTTTCACCGATTGGCAAGTCTTTTTATAACAACATTTTTTTGTGTACGTTAGGCATTTAACAATGTTATGATCTAACTTAAATGTATCGCATGAATATTGAAAGAGTAGAGTTGTTTTTTTTTCTTGTCAATTTTAAAAACAATTATTCTCTAACATTGATGTAATGCACACTTCTAAAAATATTATTTTTAAGGAAACTAAATGATCGCGTGATACTAAAATTCAGGTGTGCTTACTGAAACTTATTGTTCCACTGACAAACTAAGGTAAAATAACAAGCTACTGTTTGTTTCATCGACAATTAAATCATTTCTTAAGCGATATTTTCCTTGATTGTATCTCATGTTTAGTTATAGTGAAACAAAACAAAGAATAATAACAACAAAAGAATCGAAACCATCGTGTTAAAACAGGGAAATAAAATCCATCTTGATTACAAAAGAGACATCTGGCTACGTTTTGTTTTTCTAATAGTAAATATTTTTTATCAATTTCAACAGTTGTACACGTTACACTTCATGCGAAAAAAAATGAGCCACTCAAGACTAAAGACTCAAGACTACAGCCTTCGTGGTCGATTCCTACACATCAACAGGAGCCCGGTTTGAGCCGGGTGATTCTCCCCGAATAGGTTTTGGACACAGGAAAGTACACCTCTTGTAGTTTCAGAGTTATATCCCTGGAAAAAGTTCAAAGTGCAATAATTCCAAAATTAGGCAAGGCAGAGTTAGTGTCCGTTGCACTGCACTTTTAATCAATGCGATCTATCAACCTACAAAGTTTCTTGTTGATATCTCTTATGGTTTCCGACATATGTCCCGGACATTGTTCAAAATGTAAAAATGAACAAAGGCAATAACTATAAAGAATTTGGCAAGGCGGAGTTCAAGTTCTTGTGTACTGCACATCTACCCATAGAGATCCATCTACCTACAACGTTTCATGTTGATATCTCTTGTAGTTTTAGAGTTATTTCCCGGACAAGATTTTTTTAAAAGGTGAGATAATTCAAAAATTGGGAAAACAGAGTTAAGGTTTTTTTTGTACTGCACTTTTACTCAATGAGATCTATCTACCAACAATGTTTCATGTTGATATATCTTATAATTTTAGAGTAATTTCCCAGACAAAGTTTAAAAAGTAAAAATTAACAAAGGGCAATAACTCGAGAATTAGAAAAGGCAGAGTTATGATTCTAATGCACTGCACATCTACCCATAGAGATATATCTACCTATCTACAAAGTCTCATGTTGATATCTCTTATAGTTTTACAGCTATGTCCTGGACAAGATTTTTCTAAAAGGGGAGATAATATAAAAATGAGGCTTAACAGAGTTATGGTTCTTTTGCACTGCACTTCTACTCAATAAGATCTATCTATCTACAATATTTCATCTTGATATCTCTTATAGTTTTAGAGTTATGTTCCGGACAAAGTTCAAAGTGTTAAAATTAACAAAGGGCAATAACTCCAAAATTAGACAAAAAAAGTTTTGGTTCTTATGCACTGCACATCTACCCATTGAGATCTATTCACCTACAAAGTTTCATGTTGATATCTCTTATAGTTTTAGAGTTATGTCCCGGACAAGACTTTTTCTATAAGGGGAGATAATTCAAAAACCGGGCAATATAAAGTTATGGTTCTTTGACATTGCAATACCCCTTAATGCCCTCTACCACTGTATGAAGTTTAAACAAATTATCTCCAAGGGTTTTCAAGTTATGCTCCAGACAAGACAACGGACGGACAGACGGACAAGGCGGCGACTATATTCTCCCCCGAAATTTTTCGGGGGGCATAACAATGCTTACCGGTATAAAATAGCCGATAAACACATATTATTTCTTAAATTACAGTTCATCGATTCATCCCATTAACCCCTGGTAATAGTGACCTTTTGTAATCAACTGACTGGTTGGTATGTTTCGACTTAGCCTCGCTGATTGCTTCACCAAAAAAGGTATTGTTTCAACTTTGCGATGTTTCTTATATGCAAACCGAAATGTTTGCTTTGGTATTGTATTTCTTAAGTTACAAATAATGTAATGTTACATTTGGCGATTATACGTGCAAAGTCAACAAATTCTGTTATCAGTTTAACTTTAACTTAAACTCCTTTCTGAAATGACTTGAATATTATTAATGTGTAATTATTCTGCATTACAATGATTCTTTTCGTAACTTTAATGGAAGGATTGTTATGAAACTTGTTTCACTGTAAACAATTTTTATAATATTTTTCTGTAAATTATTATAATGGTTTTTATATAGATTGTTATGTCTATTGGATAGGTGATTTCCGTTAAATGTGTCTCAATATCCAATAGAATGTTTGATGCATTATTTCATTTTTATTTTCTCTCACCCGGTAGATAGTCCGAAATATTCAACGTACATGCATATGCTTGTTTTCGTATATAGTGGACAAGTTGCATTGACAAGAAGGAAAAAAACAAAGCAACGTCATATCTATAGAACTAGTAAAGTGTCTAAGAAATGAAATTAAGGGAATTTACCATTCAACAATGATCTTGCTCTATACACAACCCAATCATACTGTCGAAGGTAGGAATCCCGTCAAATCTTCCCAATTTATGAATCTTAAAACATTTGTTAACATTTTGAAACATTTTGTTTATTGTCGAGACTTTTGACAAGGTAAAATAATTGCCGATATGACTAGGAGGGCTATTTTATGTCACACCTATTCGCCTTCTAAAAGAACACCGGTATCGAAATGGCTACCGAACGGTTTTACTTCTGAAGTGAACGTCTTTCCCAATATTCTATTTGGGCGCATACGTAACAGATACCCACAGACATCTTGATTAAAACAATTACCATGTCATAGAGTACTTGACACGAAAGATTTGATCATGTACATGTATATGGTTTGCGGTATTCTGGCCTAGTGACATACATGAAAAGTCCATGGTTGTAACCAATGAGCGACGAAACAAAGATGCCCAAAGAGATTTTAACTAAAATTATACACGCGGAACAATCGCAATTCCCCGTCTAATTCCTTTTTCAAATCTCGGATAAGGGCAATCGGCTTTGTGTTCTGAAAGACACAGGTACCGAGCAACTCATTAATAAAAAATAACATATAGAACAACATAACCTAATTATAATTCGTAACTATACTGGGACCATTTTGCTCGTAAATGACCAAATAAAGTCCGGACTCATGTGAAGTTAAGAGCCTTTCAGGTAAAATTTGTGAACGTGATTAACATAAAATGTTTTTAGCGGACATGATAAAAATCCTTGAATAAACGAGACATTCTTTTTTTTAAAAAAAGTATCCCGAGATGGCACATAGAAGCTTTCTTAAACCAGAACATTTTTTTAAAAAGCTCAAACAACCAAAAAAAATGCTATGAATATCTAGGAAATGCTCATACAATTTATCCATTATTTACTTGGTAGGATGTTATGGCATATCAACGCCGTCTGATGACGTCTTTCCCAGCTTTAAAAAATGCGTGTGTCCTTATAAAAGCCTACCATGACCACATTATGAGTGTACTTCTCTTATAAAACGAGAAAGGCATGAACAGTTTGACTGGTTTTCCTAATGTTAAACCTTAATAAAAAATGCATTGCCAGTCCAAAAAGTTTCATGATCACTCTTTTACAAGGACAAATAAACGAAGAATCTCAGCGTGAAACGTTTTGTTTCATTTAAATCAAAATGTTAAATATATCAATTTCTAATAGAAATAATCTATCAAAGGGGAGAGATTTGTATTGTTCTCTATATCGGTTTCTCCCCTTGACTTGCGCAATTTTAAATTACCTTGGGACAACAAAAACATTTTGCCGTGTGAAATACCAAATTATGATCTAATGGGACATCGATCTCGTGGGGTTTTTTGGGGAACGGTAATCTGTGTTTTCTTTGGGATCACATTTATCTCACTTAGGGAAAAATAGCTGTGGGTTTTGCGTGAAAACATAATTTGTGGGAAAATAAAAATAGGGGTCTCTTGGGAAAGACATTAATATCTGGTTCTAGTGGAAAAAACATATAAAACTTTTATTCATGAAAATGTTAAGCTCAATCCAACCGATCCTTTGGCTATTTTTCCGTGTTCCATTTTTATATATTTTTCTTTCTTTGTTTATTTCAGTATCCTCGGCAAAAAGGCAACTTTTTAAACTTGTGAATGTGATCTGTTCTAGTATCAGGGATCTAAATAAAATGTTCCTCATTTTACAGTCAATTTAAGGACATTATGGCCAAATGACTTTCATAATATATACACACAAAGAGGAGAACATAGGAGTCATAAAACTGTAAAGGGAGGTAGTAAGAATGTTTTCGATATATAATTCAATTTTTCTATTCAAACAGAAAAATAATGAAATAATTGATTACACTAAATGCTTGATGTCAAAGTATTTTACTTCTCAGCAGTTCAACCCTTGGCTCAATAGGTAGAATTTACTACGTCGTCCATTTATAGCACAACCTTTTGTGGTTAATGCTATGTAGTTAGAGCAGAAGGTACTGCACATTTGATTTCCATGACAATAAGAATTTCATTGCCCGATGGGGAATTTGACAGTTATTTAAGTACAAACAGGCTTTTATAATTTTGCCGTGTTGGGCTTTCTTTAGGGATTCTGTTCTTCTCCATTTTATTGGCACATCCGTGTTATTTGCGCCGTGTGGCGGCTGTAAAAAGTCTTCCCGTACATATAATCAATGATGTTATATTTTTGATCCTAAAAGATCGTTCAGCACCACATTATTATTGTGTATACATATTATATGGTATTTTTAGTTTCTTGTATTTGGCCTCTTTGAACTTGGGTGGTTCCAGTATTCCTACTTGAATACTATATAATCACCCTTAAGATATGTTGCCTGCTTTTTAAATTTGTCTTTTGACGTCTTGTCTGTGATATGCAGGCTTCATAACCTCAGATCCCCTTTCAAATTTCCATTTTATTTAGTTCCGCCCATTGTTTTCTCGTTTAGGGCACACGCATTTTTTTTACTTGGGGACCATACGCCGCTTTTCATGGAATGTAACTACTTGTCACATTGAAGGTGCAATGATAACCGCCGTATGAACACATCTGCGGATGTTTCTAAATTCAAAATTTCACCAGTTTTGTGTTTAAATGTTGAATTCTGCTTAAGCCGGTGCTAGGGGGCGTGGACGATAACATGCACTTTCCAGTACCGTCCATGAACAGGCTCAATAAAACCGAGCATGCAACATTTTACAGTTTTGCCGTGTTGGGCTTTCTTTAGGGATTATGTTTTTCTATATTTCTATTAAGGTATAGGAGTCAGAAACACGACTTATATGTTATGTATAATCAAGCATTTGTAACAGATTTACCAACGTTCCCCGCCTAAGGGAAGTTTCACATGAAGCACAAAACTGCTTTTTCAAAAAAAACTGAGGTAGGGATCTGGACTTTTAGTGCAAAATATGATCAATGGTTGATCTGCACATGCCAGTAACAAAACATTCATTTAAGAAATATAATGAACTCCTGTGTATGTGTCAACAGAAATTCATTTGTATACTTGTTATCACTATTTCAAAGCCACAAAATGTGACAAATACAAAATCAATACAGGATATGGTCTGTTACAACGTATGTTTCGTGTCTAGTATTCACCAATGATATTTTATTTGCATCGGCCTTTTGAGGTCGGGGTCTAGGTGTTTATCACTACATGTATTTAAAAGTCAAAAAATGTGACAAATACAAATTCAATACAGGATATGGTCTGTTACAAGGTATATTTCGTGTCTAGTCATCAATCAATGTATGTTACATGGTATATTTAGTGTCTAGTCATCAATCAAGATATGTTACAGGGTATATTTCGTGTCTAGTCATCAATTAAGGTATGTTACAAGGTATATTTCCTGTCTAGTCATCAATCAATGTATGTTACATGGTATATTTAGTGTCTAGTCATCAATCAAGCTATATTACAGGGTATATTTCGTGTCTTGTCATCAATCAAGGTATGTTACAGGGTATATTTTGTGGCTAGTCATCAATCAAGGTATGTTACAGGGTATATTTTGTATCTAGTCATCAATCAAGGTATGTTACAGGGTAAAGTTCGTGTCTAGTCATCAATCCAGGTATGTTACAGGGTATATTTCGTGTCTAGTCATCAATCAAGGTATGTTACAGGGTATATTTTGTATCTAGTCATCAATCAAGGTATGTTACAGGGTATATTTTGTATCTAGTCATCAATCAAGGTATGTTACAGGGTAAAGTTCGTATCTTGTCATCAATCAAGGTATGTTACAGGGTATATTTCGTGTCTGTCATCAATCAAGGTATGTTACAGGGTATATTTTGTATCTAGTCATCAATCAAGGTATGTTACAGGGTATATTTTGTATCTAGTCATCAATCAAGGTATGTTACAGGGTAAAGTTCGTATCTTGTCATCAATCAAGGTATGTTACAGGGTATATTTCGTGTCTGTCATCAATCAAGGTATGTTACAGGGTATATTTCGTATCTTGTCATCAATCAAGGTATGTTACAGGGTATATTTTGTGTCTAGTCATCAATCAAGGTATGTTACAGGGTATATTTTGTATCTAGTCATCAATCAAGGTATGTTACAGGGTAAAGTTCGTATCTTGTCATCAATCAAGGTATGTTACAGGGTATATTTCGTGTCTGTCATCAATCAAGGTATGTTACAGGGTAAAGTTCGTGTCTAGTCATCAATCCAGGTATGTTACAGGGTATATTTCGTGTCTAGTCATCGATCAAGGTATGTGTCACCAATGATATTTATTTGCATGTGCATTCTAGGTGTAAATCACTATTTCAAAGCCACAAAATGTGACAAATACAAAATCAATACAGGATATGGAAACAAGATATATTTCGTGTCAATTTATCAATCAAGGTATTTGTCACCAATGATATTAATTTGCATGGGCATTTTGGGGTTGTGGTCTAGGTGTTGCACATGAGATGTTGTAGGAGAGTAGAAAGTAAGTACTGTGGTGCGGACAAAAATATCATCATGTTCTTCTCAATGATGTTCACTTCTTATTTCATTTGTTTAATGCCATTGATTCTATGATTTATATTATTTATGATTGATTACCCATAAACCGGTACTAGAGAGCATTGATTATCTTTTTTCTCGCAAAGCTCGCACACAGACTTATACTTTATTGCTCACTTGTCATTTCTCTTGATATATGTAAATACCGGTATCTTTTAAATGTCACAAACATGCTTTAATTCATTTCACAGTCATTTTAAAGTAATAACTTTTTTCATTTTATTATAGGCCCTTTCATTTATAAGATGTTCAGAGCCTTTAGCCGCATGTATATACAAACTGTTTAAAATTGCGCTGAAAGATTTTATAAATCTAATTTTTATTATATGTGTTAGTCGTATAATCGTAATTTTGCATTGTCACTCGTGAAGTGAAAATACGATAAAATCATCAATTTGAAAATAAGAAATAACACAAATCAGCCACCACAGTCTTCTTGTCCGCCCACATGAAAGTTACAGAGCCGTATTAATTAAATCTATTTAAAACTATATAAGAAAAGTCTCCAACATCGCAGTAGTGCTGACATAATTAGAAATCTAGACGTTGCCAAGGTCATATTGCGTACAGTAATAGCGACATCGTCACGGACAGTCTTGTATTGTAAATAGTAACATAAATGCTGCGCAGCGAAAACGGTTATAGTCAAACATGAGATACCGAGAATGGTCAATTTATATTAAGTCTTTAAAATGAAAGCAACAATATATATTTTTTTCAAAAGAGGAGTAACTGTAGTTATACTATTTATAAATCTTAATTCAATTATTTACTTCCCGTTGATAGAGTACCATTTTGACTACAGCTTTATTGGGATTCATTGAAATTATTCCGCAAGGACATTAAAAGAATAAGAAGTTATACAGCATTGGAAACAAGCTTTTAATAATCAACTCAGTGAAAGCACAGTAACAACATTAAGTGTATATCTATTTTTAAGACTTAGAAAAAAAACGATATAAAAATCTTTTCATTTCAACCGTAGCAGGGGAGACATATATTTCTTGTATCAATTATTTATTTTATAGTGTTATATATCTGTGTAATATGGTTTTAACTCCAAATTAAAATTTCCTTTTTAAACGGAAAAATGATAGTGTACATTTCACATTAAGTTCATTTAAACAGTAAAAAGAACATTACAATGTTGTGTGGTCGTTAGTGACAATTGTATGCAAAGTATCTATCAAACTGTTGTTTGAAACTTTACGAACTGGGTTGATCAATCTTATAAACACAAGCATATATGTCTGTGTAATTGTCATAATCATAAACACATTTATCTGTTTAAAAGTACCCCAAGAAAAGAATCCCATCTGTAGTTATCAGTGTATATGTGCGAAGAAGAAGTTGTTTGTACCCACACTCGTTCACCTGTCTTCAACATCGCAATAGCGCTCAAAGAATTACATGTTAGTACGTTGTCAAGATCATACTGCGTACTAACAGCAATCGCCACAGCGTCCTTAACTATCTTGTAGTGTACAGCTTTGTTGTGATAGTTACATAAATGTGCAGAAAAGAAATACAGTCCATCATGTGATGCTGAGAAAATTCCAGAAGTTTTGTCGTAACCTTCACCTGCGTTCATTAATACTGTATCGAATACGACCTTCACGTTTTGGCCTAAACTGACTGTTGACGAAAGTCGAGCATTGAATGCAATCTTTGGAATGTGGGCCTTCTCTGCAAAATATAATAAAATGTGACATGTCTTGCGATATCTTATCTTTAAATTAACCAAAAGTTTGCTCATAACTTGAATACTTGAATTGCATTTATACAAAGAATACATGATATATAGTGAGGAAAAGAACTTTTCATTTAAGTATACTACTCGGACGATATTTTTGATAATTTTTTATGATGAAATAATTTATGACCTGACAATGCATTTATCTTCGCCTTCTCTTGTTCAAATTTGTCAGCAAACTTGTTTATTGTTTCGTTGATGTTACTATAAAACTCGTGACTGTTTTGTTCAGCATTTTTAACCCTCCGTGTAACGTCGTTCGTTAATTTCAAAACACCATCCTTTGTTTTCAGAATTTCATTAACCATTTGTTCCATTTTAACTTCCATTCGTATCATTTTCTCCAAAAGCTTTTCGTCATAGTCAAACTTTGAACATGCTGGTTCATTCCTAGCCACAGCAAAATACTGATGGCAAAAGAAAACAAAATATGCAAGCAGAAATGAGAGAAAATGCATCTTTTCACTTTGACGATTATACGAAAATTTCGCCTTTTTATATGAGGCATCTCAACCTCATGACTTTAATATACTGATGATATTTAAGAACGTGACGGCCTATATTTTAGGAATCTAAATATCAAACTGTATTTCCCCCCGCTTTGAATGTAGAACATTTAATTAAAAGTGTAAGGGTATCAATATCAAAATACATCAAAATAGGGCTACAGTTAAGACTACGGCCAGATTGCACAAATAATTACTACAATAATTACAAGGACTAATTAGTTCCAGCAGGTGATTAGAAGCAGGTGTTTACTTCTGAGGGATAATCTTACCTTGAGTGGCGCCTAGACTGGCGTTCTTTAATATGTTACCGTTGCTCTTGTTAATTTTTAAAGGGCAATAGAACATTGTATTCAGTATACTCAGTATAACCTTTTTATTTATTGATTATTTCAATTACAGACTTCCTATTTGTAAAGTAGCAAATGACAAAATTCTTGTTATGATATCGACAATCTACTCTTACGGCATGTACTATGTTGCACTGACCAAAAAATGTTTTATGATATTAAAATGTTTACCTGAAAGAAAATTACACATATCTCAAGTTTAACTTGAAGGTTTAAATTGTTTCTAAAATAAAAAATTTAGTACTGTTCTTCAACTATCAATGGTGCATTGACAAACAAATAAACGATTAAAAATTGATTTTGACATTCAAAGCTTTCGATTTATTTAAATAAACTAAACTTCTTGCAATAATGTTCGGACCAAATGGAAATTCACAAAACACGTTTAGTTCATTTTAATGATGGACATGTTGGCCAATAAATAATTAAAATTCTAGAACAATGAATAAATGGTTGAAAATCGTAGACTCGGTTTTAAAGTGCAACATCTCTCTCCCCCTTACACCGACTTAAGCTCTATTTAGTACAGTATTTAAATCAATGATCCTAATGAACTTTTTTATTTCCATATAATGAACCATTTCATATAAGTACTCGTGAAACCATATGTAACTATGGTCGAAATTGAATTAAATTTATGCTTGTTTGTTTATAGTTGATTAAAAAACAAGCTCCTGGAGGACAATTATTGACAGTGACTTTTATTGTTATTTGAATTCGGATTAATATGTAAATTAAAGGTGTAATGGGGCGTAATCCTGTGATAGACTTAATATATTGTGTGGTGTGATGCTGTGAAAACACTCTTTACTAGTTACCTCCGTGTTTGTTCTCTATGACGGTTTAAATACAAATAATAACACCATCTTTCTCAAAAGTTTCAAAAGAAGACATATTGGCGCTAAATTCTACAAGCATCACTGAAACGAAAACCGTAATTTCTAAAAAGGTATAATTTCTGATATATTATTCTTATCTAGAAGTACTTTTTACAGATGATAACAGTTCTGTAAAATGCAATTTGCTTCTGTATTGAACAGTATTCTGCTAATTGTATGGAAAATAACGATATCATTTGTTGGCGTTATAAAGTTTTTTGTCTGTCTGATTGTGGATAAAATATCAATTATAGATATAATAAAAAAATAAAAAATGCATAATTACCAGTTCCACTAAATAATGGCCAGAAAATATTGTTGCATTCTGCGCCTATGACAGCAATTCCACTTAAAACTTGGAAAAAGTTTAAACCATCAATATATAAGAAAATAGACAAAATTGTTGGATTTGTCTTATATTGAAATAGAAAAAAAAAACAGAATATCTAAAAAAAAGCCCAACACGGCAAAATTGAAAATGTTGCAAGCTCGGTTTGATTGAGCCTGTTCATGGAAAGTACTGTCAAATGCAAACTACCGTCGACGCCCCCTTAAGCAGAATTCAACATTTAACACGAAAATGGTAAAATTTTGAAAACATCCCCAGATGTGTCATATGGCAGTTTTCATGGAACATTCAATGTGACACAGTAGTGCCATTCCATGAAAAGCGGCGTATGGTCCGCAAGTAAAAGAATGCTTTTGCCCTAAACGAGAAAACAATGAGCGGAACTAAATAAAATGGAATTTTGGAACGGGATCTGAGGTTATGAATACATATTCAAGCCCATATTCATTTTAGATCAACACCTCTCGGTAACCCAAATATAATGTGTTATCTTAATAGTTTGGCTATGAACATGTTTAAAATGCTTTGTTTTCATTGATACTCTACATCTAGCATAGATTCATCCCTTTACAAATAATTTTAAAAAAAACTTTGAGGCAGATGTCATGACATCACAATAAACTGGTCTAACGTTTGATAAGTTCTACCGTATTTGAGAGTTAGCTCTAATGCACCAACAATTAATCAGTAAATGCTTTCCTACAAATCATTTTCTACATATAATTATTATTGTTACTGGCATTCTTTCAAGAATTTGTATTATGTATCTTAATTTTTCCAATAAATGACATGTACAGGAGACATATCGGGTGCAATGAAATATAAAAATGTAACAGGTTCGATTGAGACATTATGGACCGCCTTCAGTACTATTCAAGCTTCTTTGCTAAACAAGTATACAAATCTTTTCCATGAACATTAAATATCTGACTATTCATGACAGAAAATATTGTTTTAATGCTAATTCTTTTATAATTGTATGATAACTAACTTGATTTGATGCATGTTGTTTACTTTATGGAATTATAATTGATGTTAATGACGTTGACAAGTTAATTAGAATTCAAAGCATTTCTAATAACGAATGGGTACGCATTAATTTTAAATTGAATTAGATAAAGCACAGTATTAGTTATCAACATTAATGACTTTGTTTAATTTTTGCAAGACATTTATTCAGTAACTTGACTGTTGATATAGTATGTGGATGATCTACGTGTAACTTGTGTTACCTGATATTCAATTAAAAGTATTTAATACTAACAAAATGATGGATCATATGATTTTATTACGAAAATTCAAGGCTGATGTACGGGTTCATGTTTCAAAAGACAGTTAACCACAAGATTGTAGGAATAATGACCTGTGTTGCAAACATTAATATTATCATATTTTTCTCAGTGATGTTCATTTATTATTTTAATTAGTTGCGTACCTTTGATTCCATAACCTACATGAATAAGTTTACGTAAAACGGTGCTATGTAGAGATAATTATCATTACTAGCAAAGCTCACGAACAGACTCAGACTTTATTGTTCATTTGTTGTATTGATGTCTTTGAACTTAGATACCGCTTTATTCAACATCTTGGCCTCTGTGATACATAAATACTTTTATTCATTTAAAATCATATAATTTGCATTATTAAGTAATAATTTGCTTTCATCTTGGTGGTAATGACTAATAATTCTATAATACACGTAAGGGCTTTCATTTCTAAGTTGTTGTCCCGATCAACTAGTATCGCATGTTTATGCAAACTGTTTACATTGGCGTTGAATGATTTTATCAATCTATTCAATCTGCCTAACATAAAGTTCAGATATACTTATTTCTTGTATGTAGCGTTATATATAGATGATTTTAATCAAACTGCTAATCTATTGTAACTAAAGTATGTTGAAGAACACTGTGTTAATAACAATTAAACATATTTCTAAACATAACATGATCTTCTCTACAACCAGTTTTGACTAATCCTGATATCAACATAATATTTCAGAAACAATATTACAAAATAAATAATATATTTAAAAGATCATGATAACAGTCGTCAACATCGCAATAGGGCCTACAGAGTTGACCAGATCGTACTGATAACAGCAATAGCGCCGTAGTTCCTGGCAGGCTTGTATTGTAAAAAGTAGCATGCATGCTGCATATCCAAAAAAATTCAAGTCAATCATGAGATACCAAGAATGATCCATTTATCGAAGATATTAAGTCTTTAGATAAAGCCAACAACAGATTTTTTTAAAAGGGAAGTAACCGTAGTTATACTAATTATAAAACCTGTATTATTTACTTCCCGTTGACAGTATACTTCTTTGGCTGTAAACGCTGTACATAGCTTTATATAGATTCATTCGCAAAGATACTAAAAGAATAAGAAGTAATACAGCAATTGGAACAAACCTTTAATAATATAATCAGTGTAAGCACCACTTGTAACTGTAATATATCTTTTTGTAAGACTTTGATCAAAAATCGGTATAAAAATCGTTTCATTTCAACCGTAGCATGGAAGACATTTCTCGAAATTCTTCGTACTTGTATCAATTATTTATATTTCAGTGTTATGTATCTGTGTATTATGGTTTTAATTCTAAATTTTAACTTCCTACATAGTGAGACAGAATAATGATATTGTTTGCTTTACATTTAGTTCATTGAAATGACAAGTGGAGTATTACAATATTGTGTGGTCGTGCGAAATAATTATTTTCAAAATATCTATGAAACAGATTATTTTGAAACATAATATTATTCTCAGTGATGTTCTCTTATTATTTTCGTTTGTTTAGTACCATTGATTCTATGGCCTATATTCTTATGATTTAGTTCACGTAATCCGGTGCATGGGAGCGCCTATTATCTAGTTTACGAATAGTCTCCGACTTTATTGTTCATTTGTTGCCTTGGTGTCGTTGTTATTGATAGATACCGCTATTTTTAACGTATGTTGTGATGAAATTATGATTGTGTCCACTAATCTGATTATTAGAAATGGACAAGTCATGGATCAATGCATAATGGCGTTGAACGATTTTATTGATCTATTCAATCGGACTAATATAAAGTTCAGATCTTATAATTTATTGAATGTACCGATCTTTAGAGCTGAATTTAATCAGACTGTTAATCTATTGTAAATTAAATAGATTTATAAACTTAACATGATATTCTCTACAACCAGTTATGACTAACCTAATATCCACATACATTTAATTTCCGAAACAATATTAAATACATCATCTATTTAAAAGTTCATAAAAAAGTCTTCAACATCGCAGAAGTTCCTACAGAAATCACAAAAAAGACGTTGACCAGATCATAATGATAACAGCAATAACACCGTCGTCATTGACAGTCTTGTATTGTAAATGGTAACAAAAATGCTGCGAAGCGAACAAAAATTAAGTCAAACATGAGATACCGAGAATGGTCCATTTATCGAAGATATTATTCCTTTAGATAAAGCCAAAAACAGATCTATTCTATATATTTCCCATCATTGGCTAAAAACGCTGTGCATAACTTTTAGCCGCTGGTCCTTGTTGCTGTGTCATGTGAGGGATGCGTTCATTGAACGCTACCTTTCCTTGTTGATCTTGTTTACAATATATTATTGGGATTCATTCTCAAAGATATTTTTAAAAAGAAGACATACAGCAATGTTAACAAACATTTAATTAATCAACAACAACAACTAAATCTTTCTTTGTCAATGGTCACAATAACATGACAGCAGACATTGTAATAGAACTATACTATTTAAAACAAAGTGGGTTAAACCAAATTGATTAGTACTATAGAAATTTAAAAAATCTTGCCAAAAACGTACCAGTTACTTTAAAATAAATACATGTACTAGATTCATGTGCTAAATATTATAACATAATATGACAAAAGAATAAAAGGAGAATTTGACCAGTGGAAAAGTTCCTGATACCCTTTTCCATACACACATATAAATATCATTTTATAGACTGTTAATAACATTTGTGCTTTACAATAAGCAAGAGTAATCTAACAGAGATGAAAAAGAACAACAATGAAAACCAACTTTTTAATCTGTGTAAGCACATGTAACTGTAATAAGGATTTAGGGTATATACATGTATCTATTTGTAAGAACGAAAGTATTCAAAATCAATCTTCCTAATGATTAATGTAACAAACACACACATACATATCTCTGTAATTGCCATATAAACAATGAGCACATTATCAATTTAAAAGTACCCCAAGAAAAGAATCCCATCTGTAGTTAGTATCCGTGTATATGTGTGAAGCAGAAGTTGTTTGTACCCACACTTGTTCACCTTTCTTCAACAGCGCAACAGTGCTCCCAAAATTACATGTTTATACATTGTCCAGGTCGGGCTGCGTACTAACAGCCATCGCCTCATCGTCCTTTACTGTCTTGTAATATACAGCTTTGTTACCATAGTTACATAAATGTGCAGAAAAGAAATACAGTCCATCTTGTCTCCAACATCGCATTAGTACTGACATAATTAGATTTGACGTTGCCCAGGTCATACTGCGTACAGTCATAGCCCTAACCGTCTTGTATTATAAATAGTTACATAAATACAGCGCATCGAAACCGGTGTAAGTACCGTCCATTTAGTCTTTAAAGGAAGCCGACAATAGATTTTTTTTCAAAAGGATACTATTTATAAATCTTAATTAAATTAATTACTTCCTGTTGAGTGTGTACTTCTTTGCCTGTAAAGGCTGTACATAGCTTTATTGGGATTCACTGGGATTTATTCCGCAAAGATATTAAAAGAATAAAAAGTTATACAACAATGGTAACAAACTTTTAATAATCAACTCAGTATAAGCACATTTAACTGTAACAACGATTTGAGTATATCTATTTTTAAGACTTAGAACAAAACAGACATAAAAATCGTTTTCCCTTTTACCGTAGCAAGGAAAAAACATATTTTTTTTTGTTAAACAATTTTTTTTTAAATTAAAAAATTTATTTATCTGTGTACTGAAAAAAGGTTTTTAAATTTAAAATTTAAAAATTTGTAAAAATAAACAGAATAATGACAAATTTTTTTTTCCCATTTAAGTTCATTTAAAAATAATTAGAAAAAAAACAAAAATTAGGGGGTAAAATTTGTGACCCAAATTGGGATGCAAAAATTTTCTATAAAAAGATTTCTTTTGTAACTTTTAAAGAAACGGAAAAGATTTACTTATAATCAAAGGGATATTTGTCTGTGCTTAAATTTCCTAATCATTAAAATTTTCATTTATCTATTTAAAAGTACCCCAAGAAAAGAATCCCATCTGTGACCATCCGTGTATATATGTGAAGAAAAAGTTGTTTGTACCCACACCCGTTCACCTGTCTTCAACATAGCAACAGCGCTCACAGAATTACATGTGTGTACGTTGTCAAGATCATATTGCGTACTGATAGCTATCGCCTCATCGTCCTTAACTATCTTGTAATGTACAGGTTTGTTACCATAGTTACATAAATGTGCAGAGAAGAAATACAGTCCATCATGTGATACTGAGAAAATTCCAGACGTTTTGTCGTAACCTTCACCTTCGTTCATTAATACGGTATCAAACACGACCTTCACGTTTCGGCCTAGACTTACTGTGGACGACAGGCGAGCATTAAAAGCAATCTTTGGAATGAAGGACTTCTCTGCAAAATATAATAAAAATGGTACATGTCTTCGGATACCTTACCTTTAGGTTAAACAATAGTTTGATTATAATAACGAAATTTATACAAAAAAATGTTTGATATAAAGTCATGATATTAAAAAGGCTTTTCATTCGGATGATACTGATAATCTTTTATGATGAAATAATTAATTACCTGACAATGCAGTAATCTTCGCCTTTTCTTGTTCAAATGTTTCAGCAAACTTGTTAATTGTTTCGTTGATGTTACGATGAAACTCGTGAATGTTATGTTCAGCATTTTGTACCGTCTGTGTAACGTATAAGTACGTCGTTCGTTATTGCAAAAACATCATCCTTCGTTTTCTTAATTTGATTAACCATTTGTTCCATTTTAATTTCCATTCGTATCATTTTCTCCAAAAGCTTCTCCTCGTAGTCAAACTTTGAACATGCTGGTTCATTCCTAGCCGCAGCCACATACTGGTGGCAAAAAAGACCAACAATTACAAACAGATATGAGAGAAAATGCATCTTTTCACTTTGACAATTATACGAAAAGTACGACAATTCATATAGGCATCTCAACATCACGACTTTAATATACTGAGAATATTTAAGAACGTGCCGGTCTGTTTTTCAAAAATTCAGGTTCGTGTTGCATATAATCTAGCTAGATTATAATGCACTTGAGGTCTTCAAGTGCAGCTGGAAAGTCGCAGTATGGCCATTACAGTGTCGGTTTAAATAAGAATCAAGAAGCACTGTTTCCTTGCCTAGTTTTTGTCTCTATATGTTTAGACAATATATTTGCGATTCAATGAGAGTATTAAATTATCCTACAGCATAAACAAAAGTAAATTGTTAATTGTAGACTAGTTAATGATCTGTCTAGAAACAGAATCTCTCACAACCCCTGCCACAACTTTGCCAATGTAACAATAAATATTTTTCAGTCATTATTCGCCAATTTTCAACATCCCTATTAATTTTAAAATTCAGCAAGACGTGAAAAACTGACACCCGTTTAAAACTGATCAACTTAAGACAAGCAATATTTCGACTTGACAACTTATCGCTATAATTTTGCGCAATAAGGCTGTGGCCATACCGATGAAGTATAAATATATTTCTGGTTTTATATAGATTTGTACATCCAGATGCGTCATGTCCTAATCACATTTCTATTTTATTTGTCTGCAGTATAGTAGTGAATTATCATAGTAAATACACAGAGGCTGGTAAACTGAAAAGTTTCAAAAAAGTGAAATTTTAAAATTAAGAATTTTTGCGGTGACCGATCAACAGTTGCGAAACTGATGATTCTAAAGGTATGATTGGGATGTTACCTATTGTGTATATGTACATACCTATTTTGACAAAGTGCATCTTTATTTTATGTGTTGTTGTTGTTGTTGCTGTTGTTGTGAAAAATGGCTAACATTATCTCATATCACTCCAGTGCCCCATACAGGCTTCCGTATTATTTTATTTTCACGATTGGCGAGTTTTTTTTTATATAGCACATGTTTTAATGCAAGTAAGGCATGTAACTATATTAACTATGTTAATATCCTAGATGAATATTGAAAAAGTAAAGTTTATTTTTTTCTTTACAACTTTAAAACAATAAAAAAAAAAAATATTCCTAACATTGATTGAATGCGCACTTCTAAAAAATATTGTTTTTAAGGAAACTAAATGATCGCGTGATACTTAAAATTTAGGTGTGCTTACTAATACCCTATGGTTACATTGAAAAAATAAGGAAAAATAATAAGCCTATTGTTTAATTTTATCACATATCAATGCATTTCTAACGCGATATTTTCCTTGATTAATATCTTGGGGTTTAGTTATAGTCAACAAAAAAAATAAGGGCAAACAAAAGAAACGGAAACCAACCTTATTTAAACAGGGACATGAAACCCTTCTTTGATTACAAAATAGACATCTGGCTTCGTTTATTTTTTCTAATAATAAATTTTAAGCAGTGGTAAAAGTTACACTACATGGCAGAAAAGAAATGAACCACTAAGGATTAGCGGCCGTTCGTGTCAATTGGTCAATTCCTACACATCAAAAATGCTAAACCGGTGGTTAAATAGCCAATAAACACCTCGCAGTTCAGTATATCAGTTATTTGCGATTCATTCCATTAAATTCCTGGTTATAAGTGACCATTTGGCCCAATATACATTGTATATGTCAAAATATGACAAATTAAGGTACTCAACTGACATGTAATGTTTAGACTTTACTACTGATTGCATTCATCACGCAAAAAGGTAATTGGATTACTATCATTTTTTACCCACCTAAACCTAGACTTTCTTTACGGGGCAATCTCTGAAAGGATATATTAGCGTTCCACTCTAATTTGTGTTTAGTTCCGGCTGACAAGGCGGCAATAACATAATCATTGTATGACCGTATTCATTATATAAATGTTTTAACAAAATGAACTTAACAGCATAATACTAAATTATCTAAAACCGTTCTTTCTGAAAGAGTATATTGTGAACAGTCATATTTCTAGTATTTTCTAAACTTTAATAGTGTTGATGAGAAAGAGCTTAAACTTTCTATCATGTACTGGATTTCAAAATTACATAAACATCGTATAAAGCCCGCTATTCCTTTCTTTATCTTTACTATCCTAATATTTCTATTTTATTGACTTTCTTGTCTTACTCGCCATCAAAAAAAAACCCCCACCAATTTAATTAGGATAAAAACTGGGGTTGTGAAGACTTGTTTATTTGGAAAAAAATCGGGCAAAAAAATCTTTTTGGTCTATTCAAAATCAAACTGAAATTTTTAGGTAAGTTTTAAGTTAAGAATTAGATCAAGCTTCATCTGTAAGTAGGCTTATCGATTTCTCTACGCTTATTATAGCAACATTGCCGGCATAATATTTGTATAAATGATAAATAAAGTATCTTTAATTTCAAAAACATTTTGAAAAGAAACAGGTCACGTTCTTGCTTGCAAAATTCAAAGAAGGCTGTTCTTTACCAAATGTATCATTTTACAATAAACAAGTGGGTACCTTTGACAAAGTTTGGGGTGAAAGAGGGCACTTTCATTTTTATCTAGGGATTGAACATTTGTCAGGTTTTGAGTAATAACAGTTTTCAAACAGGTAATAGCATTCCAAATGGGATACTAATTGTGGCCCGCCCCCTGATACTTGATTTTTTCTTTATTGCTTGAGAGGGATTTTATGTAAGTCTTTCCCTTACTTTGCATCAGGAAATTATACATGCATTTAACATGAGGACACTTCCGCCTACCTAGATAGATTTTAACATGAATAATCCTTATTTCGATCAGATTGGTTCTAAATATATCCCATGAACTTAAAATTGAAAAAACTATACCCTATGCTAGACATTATTTCGATTTTTTAAGGATTAAAACATTTCTATAATTAACAATACTTATAGTAACTAAGAATCTAGCGATAAAAGAAATGATTTTGATTTTATGAATTGTTAACTACCACATTTAGATGGAGATAGTACTCAATGCTACATGCATATAGTGGGGTGTATATTTCCTAATTAATTAAATTTGCTAGGGAGCGGTGCCGTCTTGTTGATGATTTTAAATGAACGCAATTTATTTATTACTAACAAACTTCTTAAACAAGTTATCCACTATCATAAAATTGCGTAAAATTTTCTAAGGTTTTACCAATTCGTAATTCAGACTTAGTTTTTAAAGAAATGTTAATTGTGAATTTAAAACATCTTTGTACGACAAGGTATTAGCAAGCCTGACTTCTATTGAGAATGTGATACCAAACTTCGTAGGGTCATGGGTGCTAGTTATTTTTCTGGCGATCAATCAACTGAAATTGATCAACGGTTTATTAGAAAGGTATGACCAATGTTATTTTGTGACATACCGCCTGCTTGGTGTTCAACCCTTTTGAACAGTGTGGACGCTAGGCTTCCCTCTTTGATTACAGATCTGACGGACCACGGTTGGGAAGACTCTATGAGGAGCAGTTCTAAAGCCCTTTGGGGATCGAATTGTCTTAATGTTCTTCTTCTGAATGGCTTCGGTGCAGCACTTGTAGCGTGATTTTCTTGTTGCTTCGGTCTGCCTTTCCTTTAGGACATCGAGTAATTGGTAATTGTCATTAGGCAGTAACTTTTTCTACATATTTACAAATTTTGTATGGTTTTTAATTTATTTCGTCTAAATATAACCATGACCATTGTTAGAATATCACTTGGCGGATTAGTGTTAATACATTTTCGTGTCATTCAGGACATTTTGGGCTAAGATGAGGTTTGGCGCGCCTTAAACTGGTTTTAAACTCCCCAGTGGTAATAACTACACTGACAGTTTCCAAGGCGGTACCTCCCTCTGTGATGTCCTTCACGTGTTTTTCGTGTCGTGTTGTTAAACTTGTTCATTTGGATGGTTTACATGTTTTGTGATGTCTGTGCTTAGTTGATTGTCCGTGACGTGTAGGTATTTTTCTCTCTCAGCCGCCCGTCTTCTCCCCCGCCCCTCTTTCCATTTTTGCTTATGATCTCTTTTACAGATATTTTCTGGAAAAGTTATTCGTTATGTGGGTTAATTTCTAATGATAAATTTTCATGCTTTTGGGTGCGGAGTGTTTTCTCTTAAGATGTGTCTCAAGTACTCCAAATAACGATATGTATGTAATTCCTGATTTTATGTTGTTTTATTTTCTCCTGTCCAAGTAGATATAGTCCAATATATCGATGTACATAGATATATTTGTTTTCGTATAATACTGTGTGAGTGTGCTTTGACAAGAAGAAAAATATCCACAAACGCAACGTCCATAATTATTCTATAGAACTATTAAGTAGCATGAAATAAAATGTAAGGAAGTTTAACCATTCAACCAATGATCTTGTTTCTATTACAAAGCAATCTTACTGTAAATAGGTAGAATCCCGTTAAATCCTCAGCAATTAAGAAATGTTTGAGAGAACAATTTGTTAACATTTGAAACATCTTGTTTATTGTCGAGATTTTTGACAAGGTTAAATATTTGGTCGATATGACTAGGAGGGTATTTTGTGACGACAAAATTTTAAGTCGACATCTATACGAGCTTCTAAATCAAACGCCGGCATCGTAATGGCTACTGTAAGTTAAACCCCTTCACCAATAATCTACTAATTGGGCGCATAACTTACAGCTAACTCGCAGACATCTTGATTAAAACAACAACCAGTCTCAAAAGAGTACTTCAGCACGTAAGATTGATTATAAGGTTTGGGGTAATCTAACACGGTGCAATAAATAATAAGTCCATGTTGTAACCAACCAATGAGCGACGGAACATAGATGGCAAAAGTGATTCTATCTTTATACACGCAAAACAATCACAATTTCTAATTGCCATCAAATTTCGGTTAAGGACAATCGGCTTTATGTTCTGAAGACACATGTACCGAGCAACTCATAAAAACGTTTAATTACATAGAACAACAGAAACTAACTATAATTCGTAACTATACCAGAATCATTTTGCTTGTTAA